GTGTATATGTGTGTGTGTGTGTGTGTGTGTGTGTGTGTGTGTGTGTGTGTGTGTGTGTGTGTGTGTATGTGCTTTTTTTCCCCCTACCTTTCAGCGAAATAAAGTTGGGTGTGAGCCACGGCTGTGAGATTTAGATGAAAGACACAGCCTGGATGGAACGTGATTAAGAGATATGTTCTTGAGGCAAAACAGGACTTGGCATTTGCTGAGACAAAACCTAATCAAATTAAAGCAAAACATGGCCATTGTTGTGGAGTGTGTTCTCTGCTTGTGTCACGTTTGAAATGAAACAGTGTAAAATAGATATGGGCTTGTGTCTGCGCTGCATCACCAGCCCAGTGACTTTATTCAGATTTACACACAGGCACTGACTAATGATGGTTGTGCCCAATGATGCCTAAAGCACTTTATAGAGCTGTCTGGGTTATAAAAAATGTTTACTATGATGGAGCAGAATGGCTCGCTGAAAGAGTATTATTGTTTACAAGATATTGTTTTCGATTAATTCACTCAGCAGAATTGTTAAATTCTCTATCCAACAGGCATGCCAACCTCCAGTTCCTTCTTCCGTCAGTAAGTAGCCTCCAGTCTTCCTTCCGCGGGCTCCCTCTCTACACCAGTGCTCCATATTTATTATTAGCCTTTAATGAAATCTATAGTCCGACTGTTTCTCATTTTGTTTGTTCTCAATGAGCGCAGGCCATGTCACGTTAAATGACAACATGCATCGTCTCCCTCTTTTTCCCAGTGAAGACATCTGTACGACATGATGAAGTTTCCTCTCTGAGTATCAATCCTGTAATTGAGCTCAGGGAGAGGAGACGTGATGTGCACACAGAGGAAGTGAAAGGCCTCCCTCGCTCTTCATTCCATTCCTTCATCCCTCCCTCTGTTTCTCCCTCTTTCCTACACACACACACACACACACACACACACACACTATAGACTAATGCGGCATCCTACTTTTATGCACATTTATTCTTCTCTTCCTCTTTACCTGCTTGTACATTCAATTTGTCAGTCAGCTCTCTTTAGATGCACATCAGCTGAAATAAGTGCATTAGCATTAGCTGCCATAATATTGCTTTCTGTTCAGAGAGCCCTGCACTATGGCAAGGAGCTCTGCAGAGAGGAGAGATGCAAGTGGCATCTCATAATAGTGTCTTCAACAAGCATTTCACAACACTACATCCTAAGTGAGGCCGTGTCCTGGAGCTACGGTGTCTTTATCCATGTCTTTTTATCCGCCTTGTAATGTTGCTTTCTCATTCTTCTTTGACAATACCGTGGATCATGCGGAACCCGAAGTGAGACCGGATTAAATATTAACACAACCTGACACAGTCCCCACTGGAGCTCCTATTCCACTTCACCTAATAGAATTAAAAAACTTTGCCATGTGCATGGAGCAGAACAGTGTTGTGAATGTTATTCTTTACAATGACTTTGAACAAATCTTATATAGATCTACGGAGAACCTGACAAGGAGGAGGCCAAGGTTTCCATTCAACCACTTAGCTGAGCTGGGAGTTGGAAAATACACATACATACACACAGATGAGGGCCTTTACATTATTTATGGTTCTTAATGGTGGCTGGCCGTGTGTGTGAATCAGCAATAGAACAGTCTGCTAAAATAGACACACAGATGTAATCAAGGCCATACATTTCCTCTCCTTCTTGTGCTAAATAGAGGGTCAATTGGAGGCAGTTTAGCAGCATTTGAAACTCTTGCACTAGATTATCTCCTTTTAATAGAGACAAAAGACAATGCAGAAGTAGACTGCAGTTGCCAGAGGAAAAGATTACCTCTGAGAGGCTATCCTTGCTAATGTGCATACCTCACACAGTTCCTGCTCTTCATAAGATATGATTGCACGTCCAAATACAGATAAAAACAATAGCTCATGTGCTTAACCTAGTTTTGTCCACAAAAGGAATCCATTAGTCTCATTGTGCAGCCCTTAAGCTCAGTATCGCAGGGGGGAATCCGCCGTTGCACCGCTACATCCACGCACATGTGCCTCTCATTTCCTATGGCAGTCCAGAAGTATCCTTCAACATCCTATTGTAAAGTTTACCAGGGGAGAGGTTCAGCGTATTAAAGTGCCCTGAGAGAAACGCTAAACGATGTAAATGCAGGCAGCTGCTGGCTGCTAATGCCATACAGTAGATGAGGAGGCCCAGCTGAGGCTGGATGTGTACAGTATCTATATAACATTATAGGCCCTCTTTCATGTCCTTGTGCTCTCTAATGGGAACAATATGAAGACTGATGGTATATAGTAAAACTGTGGAAAACATTGCTTCAAACAAAACTGTTACAAAATCCACTAGGCACCTTTGTTTCGGCATTAATTTGAAGTCAGTCAACATTTTATTTTACATTATTTGTCAGACAGTTAAAAAAAACCCCAAAGTAAACCAAAGTGTTTGGTTTGGTTTGGTGGCTTTAATTTTAACTACTAGTAAATGGAGTGGCAGAAAAAGCGCATTTCCACAACTGAACAATACTTCTAGTCAGCAGTTTGTCCATTTCTCACGTTTTTCTTTACAGCACATAGCATGCAGGTGTCTCTGTGTGAATATATTTTAGTTGTATTGGAATTTTGTTAATGTTTTAAATGCACAATCTTTCCATGCATCCCCCCCAGGCTACGGTACAACTGTAGCTCTAACTACTCCTTCTTTTCTCCTAATTCAGAGGAGTATTTTCTCCCAGATCTGCTTTGACTTTCAGGATTTAATGGAACACACATGAACACGCAGCATCAGAAACCAGCTCTTTAGAAACACTTTTAATCACGGCACAGATAAATATATAAAAAAAGCACAATCTGAAAAACAAATGCAGCAACACTGTCTCTGATCATCATTTGATAGTGTGCTGACACGCAAACTCTATTAAGCTGTCTTCAAATATGCAAAAATGATATGATTTTACAATGATTACATATTCACTTCCCCAGCTGGCTGGCTCCAAGCGTCTCCATTTGTCATCGACTATTGTGTCCAATTATATGATTAGCTTTGAACACTCCAGCACTTCGAGAGCTCTCGTGTGTTCTGCCGCGCAGAGTGATTCACAAACAAAGTCATTACAACATGTATTCACACATATCAAATAACAAAACAGATGGCCACTGCGCCTGCTGCCTGATTTGTTTTCCACACGAGTGGTGGGAAAAAAAAGAGAAAGGAGAAAAAAAAAAGTATTTTGTGCGAGCTGTGTTTAATGCTGACTGTTTTTATTCCCAAAGAAGAGCAGCTGGCTGTTGCGCTGTTAGATCAGCTCCTATGAAAGACAATCTTGTTTTCATTAATTTCTCTACAACAAAGGCACTTGTTGGGAAGATTTAGAATTACAGCGGGTAAAGCTTCCGGATAATTCATCACAGGGACTTGACAGGAAACTTAATTGTTTTAAATGCCAGTTGCTGTGAGCACTGTGGCTGGTTTGTCTTTGATGTCTAACAGGTGGGACACATAGACAACCCTCTGATGTTTCATTTGACCTTTGACCTCTCCCTTATAAATCCACTTGTAGTCCACCAGCCAATAAACCTATCACCATATGATGAACTGCAGTTCCCAGAATTCCACGAGATTGGAAATTTTGATGTCTGCCTTCTTTTATTTAGGACAGTGTAAATCTAACCCTTTCATGCCATACACACTGGCCTCTTCTTCATCTGAATGCTGTTAACCAATCAGCCGAATGCCACGTGGACCATCAGTGCAGTTTATCCTTTTACTACTCTGAGTATGAATACAGCTGGACTTGCTTGTGAAAAATCAATCAGAACATTAACAGAATCAGGCACATTTTAAAGACTTTCACAGTTTAATGGGGTATATTTAGCCTGTGTTTGCAAGTGATCAGCTATGCAATAACTTTGCTATCTGTGATTGCACCACAGGGTGCTCTTACTGTGTAATCGAAAGCGCCACTACACTGTTACCCAGCTACACTGGCTTACTGTCTGACCCAATTAAGATTGCGTTGTCGCGACAGAAACAATAACTCAATTATTTTAACAACTGGCCACACCAAAATCAATTCTTAGTGATGTTTGGGCTGGACACCTATCAAAATTGTCACATTTCTTCCACTTACAGCCACTTGGCAGAGACAGAACTGTCACGCATTCACGTCTAACTCATTTCCTTGTCTGTCATTTGAGGAAGAAGAAACTGAGAATAAATTACTTTTGCGGCAGAGACCTGACACTGAAGTATCTCCGTGTAGAAAAAAAGGTTCTCTCTTTTAAGCTTAAGGTGGTTTTAAATCTACCGAATAGCCTCCCTGACATCTCTCGAGCATGTTACTGTAAATGCACTCCAAGCGACTGAATCATTTAACATCCAATCAATACAATTCACATTGCACCATAAACACGCTTTGGTCTGATTCCTGTTTCGGAAAGCTGCTAGGACTTCTGTGTAAATGAGGCGCACTGGTTGTTTCACGGGGAAGAAAAACTGAAGTGTTGGCTTTTGTGAAGCTGGATGTAATAAATGAAATCCCCCAATGAACAAAGAAAAAGACTTTTAAAACAGAAAACAAAAATCTTGCACAGTCTGCTTGACAAAAGTCAAGAAAGCACTGTGATGGCCTGCTCTCCTGGGTTGATGGGATCTGTTGTAGCTGTGCCATGCTGCCATCACCTGGCCAATAAATTTACAGCAATTTTAACAAAACTTGTGGTGTGTTGTATGTGCTGCACCACAGGTTGGACTTTCCCTTTTTTCTATGCAAATCTAAATATAAAAGCAGCCGAAAAAACTTTGCTCCTTGTGTGCATGACATCATGCCGCAGCAATGGCAACATTTGCTCACTTCGCCTCTGCAGAAACCGAGGTGCTGCAGAGGTAAAGTTCAAAACACCGCACGATAACAAACCAAAGAGACAATATGTAAAACCCACCATTGTTTCCTGTAAGTCCCCCCCCCCCCCCCCCCACCCCCACCCCCCGTGGAGGCTGTCAGTGACGCTGCGAGTAGGTTGAGAAGAGTTTCAATGTTCACGTACAACAAAGCAGACATTGAGATACTGTGTGCTACATCTTAAATGAATGTGAGCTTTATTTTCACCTGCACACATCACACCTGAGACACAGCCACTCGTGCTTTGTCTGCTAAAGCAAAGATGCACAAAAAAAAGAAGAAAAACACCATCTCAAGTCTCATGGGTGAGTCAATCAGCTCTGAACACAGATGTTTTTTGCCACAACAGCAGCACTCCCATACTGTGAGTGTAAATTACACCTTGGAAATTAATTGCAAGTTCTTGATTTAGACTTTGATAATGAACCATGTACACAGCGATGCATTCAGTGTTACATTGTGCAAAAGCGCTCACAGTACGTATCGCAGTCCCATTTTGAAATGACTGTGGCTGTTTCATATCATTGCGCTGGTCATATTGCTCATTGATCTGATGCTGCCTGTGTGCGTGTGCCTGCTCTTTCGTCTCACGCTCCGCAGATAGTTCCTGTACAGAATCACGCTAATCACCCTGTCCTGGAACTGCTTGGAGACGATGTAGTACAGGATGATATCCAAGACTGTGCTTAGGTTCATGAGGAATGTGGTGAAGACTGCCCAAGTGCTATACCCCCCGTCGATGCCGTTCCCCAGCAAACGGACAACCAAACACACATGAAAAGGCACAAAACACACCAGCACTTGAATAATGAGCGTGATTATAATCCGGATGGACTTTTGCTTTACTTTAGGTTTGAGTTTAGAGGTGCGGCCATGAATCAGATTGTCCACAATGACGACATAGCAGCCGATCATTATGCAGATGGGGACGAGGAAGAAAAAGATAAGTCGCACAAAGTTGACGGGGTTGTCATGGCGCATGTGGATGATGTCTTGCATCTTGATGCAGGTGGTGAAGTTAGAGGCCCGGTCAGGGTCCTTCTGGGAGAAGAGCAATGGTACAGAACTGCCCATGGTCATGACCCAGACCCCAACACTGCCCACCACAGCCTTCGGGACGTTTCTCAACTCCTTGCCGTGCTTTGGCTGGACAATGGCCATGTAACGGTCAGTGCTAATCAGGGCAAACAGCCACAAAGCCATGCAAGGGTAGAAAATGGTGAAGGCTGCCATGATTCGACAGAAAAGATCTCCAAAAGGCCAGTAGTCCTGGTGGTGGTATACCATTCTGAAAGGAAGCAGCAGGATGAAGGTGAGGTCTACCAGTGCCACGTTTATCATGTGGATAGTGACTGAGTTCCTTTTCTTTGTGGTTAGGGCAAACACCCATAAAGCTGTGAAATTAACCATGACTCCAATGACGAAGATGAAGCAGTAGAAAATCAGGCCTGAAATGCGGTACTCCACTGGTCCCTGCTCTGGCTTCATAGTTGCAGACATGTTGGTGGAGTTTAGATCCACTGTCATACTGAAAGACAATGGCGTTTGTTTCAGTTGTCATTCATTAGTACCTTTGTTTCAACATTTCGGTTTATATATCACATGTGGTCATGTCTGATGCAGCTGTGGTGCTTTTAATATTCGTATGACACATCCAAAAAGGTTTTGGTACTGAAAAGGATGTACTTTGGCTACCACTTGTGGATCCCTAAAAGTACATCAGCTACATGGAGCTGAATAATTTCAATCAGCTACAAATTCTTAGAGTGACAGTTATGACCAAAATAATCTGTCAAAACAACTCAAAATATAACTTACGGATATGGATATGGATTGTTTTGAATCTGTTCCTCATCCATCCACACGAGTAAAATCTGAGAAGAAAGACCAAAACATAAAACTTAGAAAAAATGTAAAACTAAGAGTCTTTCCTAACGTTTAGCACGATCAAACCGTCTGCTCTAGACGGGAATTAAAACGACACAATTAGATTTACAGAAGTGACACTCAGTTGAAATGGTGGCTTCTTCTAAATATGGACATTTTTATGTTACAGATGACAGCAGCAGCTGTTAATTTGAATATATATTTTTAAAATGCGGTGCAGCTGTACCATGCGAAACAGAGAGCTTTTCTATAACTGCAGACAACAAAAATCACCCAAATAAACAGAAAAAGAAAAAAATGAAAGCAAATGTTTGATTGAACTGCAATCTGTGGTTAGAGTCAAATGTGGAAGTGTGATTTGTATCCCTGAGAAAGTGATTTAGTATCTTGATAAGAAATCATGTGACTTCTGTTTGACATTTACCCATTTCTTTTCTACTGTACTCCACTCTACGTACTTTTTTTTATTGTATGTAAATAAAATTATAGAATATCTATCAATCTAGATATCCCACAGCAAACTAGACATAATCTAGATGAAAGAAAGATGTAAATGAAACAAACATATCATGTGAATCGATTTTTAGTAGCACCAAAAGACGCATACTGTACAAAGTAGCCATGAAACACGTCTGCCAATACTACAACCTTCAACGCTTAAAAGTGAAACAGATCAGGTAGCTTTGCCTGGACAATAAAAGGCTGCACTTACCACAAAAATCAAACAAACATCTTGACAAGCTCACAACAGCAGGTTTATGAAGCCAAATGGAGCTCATGAAGATGTCAGAATACCAAGCTCTCACGGCCAAAACAGGGAAGTGAATACTTTCTCTTTGAATTTGACTGTAATGGTGGCGAGACAGAAGAGGCTGTAAAGCCCCCTTCACTTCCTGTGTCGCCCGTGCGTTATAGTTTCTGCTCTTTTTTAGATTCCTTTACACTGTCTGCGTGGTTGGAACAGAAATGGACTACAGCTTTCCACAGTCTGCAATTACACCCCCTTAAAGAAAATGATGTGCCATTAGAAGTGGGAGTGTGTTTGGCAGGCAGAGAGATGGCAGATTTAGGGCGAGTTATTGATTGGAAAAGTGGGGTCTGTCACAGCACATTAGTTCTCAGGGGAGTAATCCACAGCAGGTTGCTGCGAGAAGCATCTGCTGCTGGAGAGAAGTAATTAAAAACAGGATGTTGAGGCAGTTGCCATATAAACAGGAAATAAGACGGTGGTAATAGACACTTCACGCTGATGCTGGGAGATGGTTTTACACCACATCGGCTTAATGGATGCAAAGCGCATAGCTCAGGTGAAACGCTCAAGGTCAGCGTGGACCCGGATTGAATACAGATTAATGCGTCTGATTAGTGTGTGTGTGTAAGGTGGTAAAAACTATCAATTGGGACGTTTGACTCAAAGAACTTTGTGAGAACAAAACTTCTTCTGTTCACGTCCTCGCTGGTTCATTCGCAGGGCTTAAAATAGACCGTTTCCATCACTCACCACAGGTTTTTTCTTTTTTGCGGCTCCCACAAAAGGTTTTACATGTTGCCCCGATGCACATTCATAATTGTGCCGTGCAGATTTGTCAGCTTTGATGCTAAACTTCTTCTTATTGTCAGTGGATTTTGGGTTTTTTTTAGTACTGCATTTTGATCACAGCTCATTCAGTCTAATTCTTATTCCTGGGAAATAATTATCTATCGGCTTGTCCTCTTGATGTGTCTTAAAAAAAATCTCGCACCAGATGGTACTTTGTGTTCATTGCAATATGTTGTTATGACAACAGTCTGTGTGATGTTTTCCTCTCTTTGATACTTGTCATGTGGTTGCGTCAATATTCAACTCTATAGTACATGTTTAATTATTCACCTGTATAAGCAACAAGGAGTGTATTTATGCTTTCTCTATACAGATAACCAGACATCAACTACCTCTCCCCTTCTCCCTTTGCTCTTTTTAAACTATCTATTTTATACTATGCCATTTTTTGTAAAAGCATAAAAGTAATATTTCAATAAAATGATTATTAGGTCCTCTTTTGTAGCTTCCGTCTACATTTAGAATTGATATATGGCCCCTCTGAGAAGCACATTTTATTTGGTTAATCACCACCTCTCTTACGCTGTTTTACACTGCCCTCTAGAGGCTGAAAATAAATACTACAACACACCCAGCCTGTGGCTTATTTATTCACTGCGGAACGTATATATTATTTTTACATTAAAGAAAGCATTATATCAGTATATCATATTTTATTTGTAGTAACTGCTTTCTAAATTTAAGGATTCGCAAACTCAATATTTGTTCAAGGTGGCGCAGAGTTGAAGGGTTTTGTACGCAAACATTGTGAAAAGGTTCTTTCTTTGACCACATTAGTTAGCTGCGCTGTGGTGTAGTGGTTAGCAGTGATAGCTCATACCAAAAAGGTCGATCTTATGATGTACTTTATCAGCTGATGAGTCTAAATGTGAGAGTGAATTATGGTTTGTCTCAACCCTGTCCAAGAAGCACTCTGGCTCCCACATGCGCACTTTCATCATCAGGCCCCCCTTTCAGACCCACTGCAGTGTGCTAGAAGGCCTGTGTGGGACTCCCTGTTTCCCGTTTGGTGACCTTTGGTGTTTCTCGTTTTCACACACACTAAACAGTAATGACGCTCGAGTCATATAAAAGTAATGTTTAAAATTATAAAAAAAAAATCCACAAGAGTCTATAAAATGTTACTTGTGCCAGTTTCATTAGAATATTGTTGTTATCACACACACATGTAAATTAATTTCTAATTCATAAATTAATCATTTTATGTCACAACAACATGCGACAAAGTAACATCAACTCTGTAATTATTAAAGATTAGTTAATATCAGTCATCATGGAGCCTATCCTAGCCATCGCTGGGTGAGAGGCAGGACACACCATGAGCATGTTGCGCGTCTACCACGGTGCTAACACAGAGTAAGAGAATCATTTACACTTAAATTCACACCTAGAGCATGGCCACCACCATGCAGCACCATGCTAAACTTTAACTAAATACCCATTCATTACCTGTCAATTTTCCATGTATTAGTTGGGATTATTATAAAGGTTTGTCTCAAAAACCTCCATATTTAAAATATCTGACCTATGGCCATGATTCTGACATGATGTTCATACTGTCAGCCCCTCCGAGAAATATAAGTGACAGAAACAAAGCACGATGAAGCAGCTGACAATTATATGTGTGAAATATGTGTTTATTGCAAACGAAGAAACCACACTATCATCAAGAGACATGTTCCCGTTGAACTAAACGTACGAAGATAACAGTGTCAAAATGCATATATGTCAATATATGCATATATTCTGACTCATACTTAACTCTTATGTAAATGCAAAACATTCCAGTAACATAAGTTGACCTATGAAAAAATGAACAACAAAACAAGAAAACATATCTTGTTTTGTATAACCAAAGGCGTAAAATCCAAGAAAGAAAGATGCTGTTTTGCATGTACGTATGACAGTGACGTAGATGGTTAACTTAAATGGCTGATTAATTTCTATCTGGTGACTAAATGTCATCAGATAACATTCCAAGTATTTTGTCTAGTTTCAAGTATTTTTACCACAGCTTCACTTTTTTGCTCCTTTTCTCACAGCTACCACACCAGCAAACTTCCTGCAGCTTAGAGATTAAATCAGGTTTGTACAGAGGTGACAGCGAAAAGTTACGTTAATTACTTGTTGGAGTACTTTTAATGTCAGCCTACTCAGAGGAGACAAAACCGTGAGTTCAGGTTTTTATCGTTGTACATCGCTGCTGTTTGGTTTTCAAACAGCACAGCTGACAGATCTGTGGATCAGATTACATCCAGGTGAAGCTATAAACCATGTTCTCGGTGCAGCACCTTCGTGCTAGCTCTGACACTACAACTGCAAATCTGTCTTCAGCGTAACTTACCAGGCTTTATCTAATGTGGTCATGTTGTGATTTGTTAAATGATGGCAGTGTGCCTTTGAAAACTATTGTTTGAGAGCTCAACATCCCCTTTTATATATACATTAAAATGGTGTCGTTTTATCTTTTATCGTTTGATTATTTGTGAGAAATCAAGTGATACAGGAAACACATTGACATTAAAATGTGTAAGTGCAAATGTTTGTGTGACACACTAAATGTGGGTGGTGAATGTGTCAGAGGGCTGGCAGCTCTGTAACAAGAGTACCAGGTTTTCTTAATACAAATACTAAGATGCTTTAAGTTTTTCTGTTGATGTTTTGATGTCTTTTATATTTACATACTTGTAAATTTCTTGATAGCAATTCCACCCAACTGCTAATTTTTACAAATCAGTGGCACAGTTTTTGGATACTCTTAGTACCTCTGATTTCTTCACTTAATGGCACTCTTAGCATTTTTTCATATATATAAAATTTTTCTGTAATAAGTGCTACAAACCCCTTGCGTTCCAAAGTTCAAAGTTCTTCACAGTACTGTACTTTGTAAATGGTGCCATGTGTTTTGCTCTGTGGGTTTGCTGCCACCCTGGCATATGTTATAGTGACACATAAGCGTTAAACGCTGCTGAACTTCTCACTAGTTAGTCTTTTTTTAACATTGTGCTCCGTTTCTTTGCAATCGCATATCAAAGCCTCCTTCAGAAATATTCCTTCTGTTCTGCTCTGTTCTAAACACAACAGCCAAAAAAGGCCACTGTTTCACAATCTTAGCAAATTAGACAGAATTGTGCAAGATATGTAAACAAATATAAGATCAAATTCTAGAACTAAAGTTCAAACTGTCTTCAGTAGCTTGAACCGACCAAAAGGCCTGTCACAGTCTCCCAACACATGTGTAATTCAAACTAAAAGCAAAAAGTTTACACCTTTCCAAAATGCGAAGGCAGTAAAAATAAATCCTCGCACATATTTTTTCAGACCTTTTGATGCCAGCTTACAGTAGACGCTCTCTGAACTTTGTGCTGAAAGGTATAAGTTCATGGTGGTGTACTGTTGGGTGCAGGCTGCTATGCAAGAGGTGAGAGTTTGCATTCCACCACACCACTGTTCTTTTTTCTCAAACCTCAGACCAAGCATTTGGCTTACTTAACCAGTTAAATTAGTTAAACTAGTGCTCATTTCTCAATGTCCTTAAAAATATTGTTGGATGCATGCAATATTCTGTTATATTTTATAATTCTTTCTTACCTCAAATATTGAAATTTATATGTGCACAATTTCTGCTGCTTCACTGATAAAACACATCTGTGTTGACTGAATTTCTAATAACCAGACCTGACATCCCTTCATGGCCTTCTAGTTCAGTGGGAAGGTGATGGTGTTGTGAGATAACGTGAAATGGGTGTTAAATCTAAGAACGATTCGTAGTGGTGACTCAATATACTATAAACAGAGCTGCTGTTTGCATCCAGCAAGAAGCGGATATACCCACAATATAAACACAATCTCAGTCACATCCAAAACATTATTAATAATTATTACAAGTCATTTATTATGTACAGTGCTGCATAAACATGTCAAGCATTGAAGTGACAATTGCTCCAAAAACAATGCTGTGAAGAGTTTTCATTTACCAATTATAGTTACACAAGGTGCAGTAAAAAGGAAAAAAAGCATATCAGTATCTGGGCAGAATCGGAATCAGAATACTTTATAATCCCCAAGAAAATGATGCTGTTAGAGCTGCTCCAATAAGAAAAGTAACAGATTGAACTAAAGTAAATAATACAATGTGTTATAAAGTTACAATCAATTAAACTTAAAGACTGGCAAAGATCAAGGGCCTTTAAAGGTTTTCTAACTATCTTCAGATTTAGCTACAC